TCATTCACAAACGACGCCGGACACAGGTGCGTCGCGCCAGGGGGCGCTGGCTCCTTCAAAATTGGCGATAGTAGCGCCCTTCAAAACGCATGCAATCAGTGACCCAACATGCGTAACGCGGCGCAACTTGGCAAAGCTGCCGCGCCAGACTTCCCATACATTCGCTGTGGTAACGCTCTTCTCAGAACCGACAGACAGCAAATCCGCAAGCGTGGCGCGGCGCCCCTTCGCAAACGCACCCGCCGGTGTCGATCACCAATGAATTAGTGAACCAAAGAATAAATTAATCAATGAACCAATGAACCAATGAAGCAATGAACCAATGAACCAACGCACCACCCCCATGCCCTCCACGCGCGGCGTCGCTTGCGAATCCACCAGCGTTGTTCCAACCATTGCATCTATTACTCATGAATGTGTACCTCAATGGTAACGTCGCGTTTCCTCGAAGGACTCGCACGAACGTCGACTGATAGCCGCATTCTGCCACTGGCCTGCTGATCATCAACCTCGCCTGCGGACGCTCCCTGGCGCCGCACTGTGTCTGCGGGGGATTGGCCTAATGAGTCAATGAATCAATGAACAAAGGAATCAATGAATCCATACGTCAAGAGAGCTGCAACTCTGTTTCACCGCAACTTCTGCTACAGTGCCCCCCCGCTCCGATGCCCGCAAATTGCTCTGCTCATGTTCCTCACCTTCGGATGTTCCCTGGCGCCCCGCTGTTTCCGCGAGTGACTGAACCGATGAATCCATGAATCAATGAATCAATGAGCCAATCACATTAAGACTCTATGCCAGCGTGCGTACAGCGCCATGGACTTCCCCGCCGCCTCGCACGCAAACGCACAGTGCAGCACACGAGAAACGCTCGATGGCACGAGGAGCCGTGGCCGAGACAGAACATGAGGGGAAGGAGCAGAGGAGGAGAAAAGAGAGAAAAGCAAAGCGCACGAGCGTGAACGCCAGTTGACGCACGGAGGGCGATTCCGCATCACGACTGCGACCCAAAAGACGGATCCAGGAGAATATGCAATTCGACTGAATTCCTCCCTTGACAACGCCTGGAGGGCCATAAAAATTACGAGTCGACTCTAGCGCTCCCTTTGCGACGTTCTCTCCATCCATCCCTGTCCTACCCTCCCCACCCTCGCCCGCCTCCATTTCCTCTCCTCCTTCCCCTCCCTCACCAACCTCCCTCCCTCCCCTCCCTCCCCTCCCTCCGCCCCCTCCCCTCCCTCCGCCCCCTTCCCACCATGCCATCCCTCCACTCTCTCCGGGTCCTCCCCTCCATCCTCTCCATTCCCTCCCTCACCTCCATCCCTCCGCTCCCTCCTGTCCCTCCCCTGCATTCCAATCGATTGTAATCGCATCGATTGAAATTCAACCGATTGCAATCCAATCTATTGCAATCCAAACGCTTCCAATCATATCAAAAGCAACCGTTGCAATGCAAACCGTCTCCCCGCCTTCCCCCTCCCTCCCCTCCATCCCCTCCCTCCCCCGTCTCACCTCCATCCCTCCACTTCCTGCCCTCCATCCCTCCCCTCCCTCCTGTCCCTCACCCGCATTCAAATCGAGTGTAATCAAATCGATTGCAATTCAACCGATTGCACTTGCAAGTGCAATCCATGGCAGTACAATCCCCCCCCCCCCTCCTCCCACCTCCCCCACGCGGGCCAGAGGGTGAAGGAGAGGGGAGGTTTCAAGCCCCCCCCCTTTGGCACCAAGGGGGGGGGGGGAAGGGGTAGCTTCCAAAGCTCCCCCCCCTTTCAAAAGGGGGGGGGGCTCACCCCGGCTCCATTAAAAGGACGGAGGGGTGGGTGCTTGGAAGCCCCCCCCCCCCCTTCCGGCCACGACAAGGGAGGGACGGAGGGGGAGGGTAGCTCAGAGCCCCCCCCCCTTTCCGCCAACGAAAAGGGGGGGGTCTATCAAAGCTCCTCAAACAACGTGGGCTCGCAACACCCACCCCCAAAAGCGACGCATGGGCAACAAACGAACAAGCAAACGCCAGCGGTGCGACATCATGGGCCGGCGGAATGAGCGAAGCGATTAAATCAATGAGTTGGGCCTCCTGGGGCTCTGTCTCAGAGGCCGTGACGACGGCTCAAGATGGCCTCAATACAAACCAAGGCGGCCCAAAGACGGCTCAAGATGGCCCCAAGAGGACCCAAGAAGCGCTCAAGACGGCCTCAAGAGGACCCCTAAGAGCGCCCCCGGAGGCCAAAACCATAGATACTCCATGGGGTTTTGAAGGAATTTAGCGTTCTCGCCTTTTTCGCCTCTCAGAAACCCATGATGGCCCAAGCAGCCTCCCAAATGGCCCCAAGACGGCCTAAGAAGCCCTCAAAAGGCCTCCACGACGGCCCAAGCGGGCCCTCAGACGGCCCAACTCAACTGGACCCCAACGAAGCCCCAAAACGGCCGCGAGGGACCCCCAGGACGGCCTCCGAATGGGCCACACGCCACAAGAGCGCCCCAAGACGGCCCAAGACGCCCCCAAGAAGCCCCAGGAAGCCCCCACCCAAGACACCTCCAGGAGGCCACAAAGAAGCTCCCAAAAGGCCCCGCAACAAGTGGACTGTACGTGGTCCGGAAGTGCACTCCCGCGAAGCGAGAGGAATCTCCAGAAAAACCCCCAAACAGCCCCTCAAACTGCCAAAAGCAGCTCCCAAAACAATGCGAGACCCCCACACCCAAGACGGCTCGAGAGAGCTTCAAGACAGCCCTAAGCTCCGCCCACCCGCACCGAAAATGCTTCAACCGAGCCTCTTCGCGCGAGCGCCAATAGATCTATCGTGCCCGAGACGGCCCGGATACCATGACGAAGCGGGCCCCCGACAGGCACTCCAGGGGCCCCCAAGAAAGCCCCAAGAGGACCACAATATGCCCCCCAACGGTCCCCAAGGCAGCTCCCCAAAGTGAGGACAGAGAACGAGGAGAGGAGAGGAGAGGAGAGGAGAGGGGAGGAGGAGGAGGAGGAGGAGGAGGAGGAGGAGGAGGAGGAGGAGGAGGAGGAGGAGGAGGGAGAGGCGGTGGGGAGGAGAGGAGGAGGAGGAGAAGGAGGAGGAGGAGGAAGAGGAGGAGGAGGAGAGAAGGAGGAGGAGGGGCGGGAGGAGGAGGAGGAGGAGGAGGAGGAGGAGGAGGAGGAGGAGGAGGAGGAGGAGGAGGAGGAGGAGGAGGAGGAGGAGGAGAAGAAAAATAATCACGAACGAAGCTGCGCACAGGAAGGGGATTATCCGAGACCCGCACTGGATCAGACGGGACGCCGAGCTCCAGCGGGTCTCGAGCTCGGCCTCCTTCCTGCTGCGCTGCCCGGATACCGGATCCGCCCTACTGCGGGAAATTCCGCAGGGCGGAAATTCCCGCCCCGCTTTTCAAGCTCCTCTGATGCTGATTTACGCCTTACTTTGCCGTCGCTGTCTCTGGCACGCCTCAGCGGAGACGTCTGCCCCTGCTCTTCGGAGGTGGGAGCCTCCGCCCTGCTTTTTCGCGTCGTCTAGGGTGCACTCCCGACGCCATTCCAGGTCGGAACATCCGCCAGAGTACGGCGGATCCGGAGTCAGGGTGCTGCGCTGCTGCGCTTCTGCGCTGGCACGGTGGCGAGGGCCTGCCGCGGGCAGCTGGCTACCGCTCGCCTCCGGAGGGGGAGGGGGAGGGGGAGGGGAGGGGGAGGAGGGGGAGGGGGAGGGGGAGGAACGGGGTGCTCGACAAAAGAGTCTGTCTAGACGGATCAGGGTATGACCAAGATCAGCCTTCCCTGGCCCGCGCGGGGTGGGCGGTTGGTCACTGTCACGGCGAGCGGGCACATCATTGGCTCGGCGTACGGGCCCCTGCCGCACATCGTGCAGCTCGCGGGAGCAGGGGAGGTGTACGCCTTCCTCATGGCGTTGCGGTTGGCGGGCCCGCTAGGGCTCGATGTGATCACGGATTGCAAGATGGTGGAGGATATATGGGGGTTCGGGCCAGAGCAGAACCTAGAGGACGTAGCATATTCAGAGCTTTGGAGGGAAATATTTCAGCTGGCAGGGGATCTCGGACGTGATCTGATTTCGGTACGTATGGTTAGGTCTCACCTCTCCCTCGGTCAGGCCCGTAGGCAGGGGGTGTGTGAGTGGGAGTGGAGAGGCAACAAGCGGGCAGACGAGCTCGCCAAGCTTGGGGCCCAGGCTCATCCCACCAACCCCCTAGTCAAGGCTCAGCTTAAACATAGCTTTAATTTAGTCAAACAGTCGGCCTGGTTGATTGCCGAGGTCATGAGCGACCTCTCGGTTAAGAATTTCCCAGACGTGGCGCGTGTGCGCAGGCCTCGTCGGCCCAAGCCACAGGTGCTACAGTTGATTCCAGAGCCCAATGGGCATTTAATTGAGAAGTCTGGCAAGCAATACAGATGTGCGACGTGCGGCGAGAGGGGCCGCTCGAGAGCACACATTGCTTTGACGCCTTGCGGCGGTCCGCCGAGGGGGGCGAGGACGGCGCACCAGAGCCACAGGCTCTGGCTTGGTGGGGGTCGGGTGGCCTGGTGCACGCGTTGCGGAGCTTTTGGGTCCGCTCGGTCTCGGCTCCTGGGGACTCGGTGTGAAGGAGGTCCTCGCAACCGTGACGCTGCTAATGGTCTCAGAATGCTCAGGAATGGAGTGGACCCCAGCTCGAAGACGAGCTTCGGGAGGTCTGTTCCGCTCAGATGGCAGGTTCAAACGGGTTGGTCGTCCGCCCCCGTCTGAATCCCATCTTCCAACACTTGCCCTCTGCACTGTTTTTTGGGCTGCCTTATCGCTCAGCGGTAACGGACAGCTAAGGAGCCAATAGGAGCCAATAGGAGGAGGAGGAGGAGGAGGAGGAGGAGGAGGAGGAGGAGGAGGAGGAGGAGGAGGGGGAGGAGGAGGAGGAGGAGGAGAAGGAGGAGGAGGAGGAGGAGGGGGAGGAGGAGTTCACTTCAACGGGCACCAGGTTCAGACAGGACACCTCGAGCGGGTCTTGAACTCGCCCTCCCTCATTGC